TTATCAATTTGAGCCATTCTACATGGATTAGAACAGTGGTTCTCAACCTTTTTAATGCTGCGACCCCCAACTGGTCATAAGTCGAGGACTAAATCAGTCGTAAGTCGAGGACTAAACCGATCATAAGTTGAGGACTACCCAACCGATCGTAAGTCGAGGACTTTCCCTGCCTGGGAGCGCCGCGCATGCGTAGTGCCACCCCCTGCGCCGGCCGAGGCGTAGCTGGCAAGTGGCAGAGACGGAGCAGGCCGACCACCGGCTGGGCCACCAGCTGGCCTAGCCCAAGACAGATAAGGCACCCGCCGGAAAAGGGGAAAAAAACGACGGACAGCTTTGCTTGGTGACCCCTGTGAAATGGTCGATCGACCCCAAATGGGGTCGCGACCCATAGGTTCAGAACCACTGGATTAGAAAGTGTAGAATACACATATTAAATGAGAAGATTAATAGACAGGTGGAAAAGTATAGTTTTAAAACACTCTAAATATTCTCACTGACCCTTAGCTTCCCTTTTATTATTTTTTTCCACTCTGTGCTATTTTCCCAATAATACTCCTTTCTCTGCCATAAATAAATTTATATCATAGTTCTGGCAGAGATGAATAAAGCAGAACTCCGAGGCTTGAAAATTCCTCAAAGAACATGTTTATTAGTTACAAAGTATTGGCATAATCAAAAGTGAAACCAAGTCTGAATACACGTAACAATTGCCCAATTACAAAGTTTACTGTCTCACCCACAAAATTATGCAACCAACTACGTTCCCCAATATACTCATTTGGCAGGCTTTTTTATGCAACACCCAGTCCCTAGGCACAGGAGCAGTAGATGACCTTGGTTCCCATGGGACAGAAGATTATTTTGACTAACAAAGCACCTGGGCAACCCCCCTCCCTCCGTTCTATGTGGCAACCTAGAATGAGAAGAAAAAATGGCTGCAGCCATGCAACCATGACATTTATGTAAATAAGATTTTTGACCACTTTTATGTGGTTGAGTATATTTGCTTATTTATCAAATTTATATAGCTGGCCATCTGACAAAAAACTCTGGTTGGCATAAAACAATTAATTAAGTAAAAAAACCTATATAAATGTTTTTACATTGTTAAAATGTAAAAAAAGAACATAAAAAATAGAGTGGATATTAACCATGGAGCCATCTCAGGATTTCATTAGTCGCCTGGGTTCCTCAGGCGTGACCATACAGCTAGGTCTTGAGGGATTTCTGAAGAATTAATAGGGATGGAGCTAACCTCACTTCAAGGGAAAGAATGTTTCATAAAGTGGGTGCCATGGCACAGAAGGGACCTGCCAAGTGTAATTTCATAGCACATGCCTGGGACTTGCCAAATATAGCTCCCTAACAGACAGCACCCACAACACGCCTCCTCTACCAATTCTGGTGGGATGGGCAGATATAATCGAGAAGAGGCAGCCCTCAGATAACCTGACCCAATGCCATGAAGGGCTTTAAAGCTTAAAATCAGCATATTTTTTCTTCCTCTTTTTAATATACTTTTTTATTGTGTAATTGTATAAGTTTTACTTCTATAATATAATAGTTAATAAAATTATTGGCGAAATCAGCACCTTGAACTTGACCTGGAAGCAAACTGACAACCAATGCATCTTGCGGAAGAGAAGTATAACCTGTGCTGTTCTAGAAGCACACATAACTGTCTGCACTATTACATTTTGCATCAGAGGAAGCTTCCAGATATACTTCCACGGCACCCTATGTCAAGCGCATTATAGTGGTACAATTGGGCAGTGACTAGAATGAGTGCGACTGTGAAAAGAGCTCTCTGATTTAGGAAGGGCACAAATAGTACATAACACAAAGATGTGCAAAAGGTCCAACTGCCACCTACTCTTTGAGAAGATCTCCCAGATTGTGCATTGGTTCTGTCTGGACAGTGCAAACCCATTCTGCACCAAAAATGGCATAGGCCTAGAACTGGGAGACAAAAGCCCTATAATCAATCACTCAGGGTTTAGTCTGTTGTTTCCCATCTGACCCTCAGAGACTCCACACATGTAGATATTCATAGCACTGCTTAAGTTATCAAGGGCAAAGATGTATAACTGAGTATCATTAAAGTATCGATGATACCTCACCCATGAAGGCAAATAAGCTCACCCGCTTCATGTTAGATGTGGACTAGGAGAATGCACCAAACCTTGCAGAACCCCACATGGCAGGGACCAAAGATGGGATTTCTCCACCCAACAGCAATAATGACTGGATCAACACTGGAAAAAAGATGCCAACTACCAGAACACTGTGCCCCCCATCCTTAATCCCCTGAGCCAGTCCAAAAGGATAGCGTGGTCGATAATATTGAAAGCTGCAGAGAACTGCAGAGCAAGTATGGTACACAATCCAATCCCATCCTCACCAGAGTTCATCCAGAAGTGTGATAAATGCTGTTTCTGTGCCATATTTAGGTCTTCATATCTATTGAAAAAATTCGGGTAATCCTCTTTCCAAGGCTCTCTAAACCTGCTGTGCAACCATTTTCTCAACCACATGTATCCATATATGAGTCGTGCTTGAAAATTCTACATACAAGAATTTTAATTAAGAAAACATACGTTGCTTTCACAATTTTAAAGAAACTTTATTATTATGTCCTATTCATTTAGACCTATTAATAGGGTAGCTAACAAATTACTGCCAAAAGCAAAATAGACAAAAAAAAAAACATTAAATTGTGCTGCAGTGCCACCTAGTGGATTATATATATTGTAAATTGTGTGAATATATCTTTGTTTCTGTTTTAATAAATTACATGTAAGTGATATATACCCTACCGGTTAGCAAAAACAGTCCTTTTCTTAAAAAAATACTCATGCAACTTTTTAGTACTTCAGTGTCTGCATGGTTGTTTGAATTTTAACAAAAAACAATAGCAACACTAATTTAAGCTGCTTTGCCATGTCACTTTTTAGTACATCCTTCCAAGATTTTTGGATAGCCATACTTTCCCTTTTCTGGGAAAATAGCAACTACTTGGGACTGTGGTAGGATTGGGGATGAGGGAAGAGAAAAAGAAAAATCCTACAGTTCTTTTTGGGAAAACTCACAACCTGAGCAACTTTTTTGCTCTCCTATATATATCTTTAATCAGAACTGCCTTGCAGAATAACAGAATATTTCAACAGAGGTGTTCTTATATTCAGCCTGACTGGCCATAAAATTAATTCAAAAAGAAATTAAAAAGTAAAACATTCCAATATAATTCTTGGAAATCATAGTATACATAAAAAGATTTGGTTATTATAGACTATATCAAAAGAATTCTAGAATTTCTTGTAGTGCATCTTAAAGAGATGACATCAATCATGAAAGCCTGAGAGTTTTTCTCTTTCTCTCCTTCTGATACTAAAAAGAATGAAGGCAAGAGACTTGGAAAAATTAATGATTAATGCTAGAAATCTTAAGCTTAAAGGAAATCAAGGCAAACAAGCAAACAATGATAAATACAATTATCATTCAGAGCAAATGAAACTAGGATTTGATGGCAAGAGTAACATATGGATTATGGCACACACGATAGGTAGGAATTCCTTTAAATGACTAAATAAAGGTACAGTTATAAGCAAACTCCTTAATATTACTTAGAAAAAGGTACAAGAATGGTAGTTGAGCACAAATATGAGCCAGTGAGCCATATAACTGTAAAAAAGGCAAATTCAGGTCTCATGAAAAAAAACATAATTCCCAAACCATTCTAGCTTATTGTGCTTTGGTTTGCTCTGGGACATAATGTTTTGTGTACTGCACTTTCAGGAGAAATCAGAGAAATTGTAATAGTTTCAGAGATGGGAAATTAGGAAGATCAAAACTAGAAATCCTATGAAAAGAGACTGGAGGATCTTATGTTTTAGCCTTGAGAAAAGATCACTGAGGGTGTCCGAATAATAGCTTTCTTCAAATACCTGAAAAGATGTTGCTGGAAGAAAGACAAGATCTACTCTTACACATTGCAGAATATAGAATATGAAATAATGATTATAAGAATGTAGATTATGACTGAATATTAGAAAAAACTTCTCAACTGTAGAAATAATAGAATCACCAGGCCCGAAAAGTGACAGATACTAGACAACCATTTATTAGGACGTTCATCTTGAATTCCTGCACTGAGTAGCAAGTTGGATTAGATCTTTCCAAATGTTTATTCTGTGTTCAATATATTTCTGGTATATACATATGCCAGTCCATTATTATTTTGATTTTTCTGCATCTTAACCAAATACTAAATATATTGTATTGTCCACGATTGCTAGGACATTGGATTTGAATTTATAAAAGAAAGCATTTTACTTGCACAGGTAGGAGGAATTTCTTATCACTAAACTGAATCTGTTTCCTCTCACAAAAAAGTAATATGGATTGAATTTAATAACACCATCAGAATAAGGTAGGCCATCAGAACTTGGAATTTTGCTAAGTTAATGCCCGTGCTGAAATATGAACAAATTTTCATCTTCAGATGTTTTCCATAAAATTTCCTACTTCTCCCACAATTCATCTGTTGAAGGGTAGAACATAATGCATTTTTAACTGAATTCTGAGTCTTTGGGGATTGAGGTTTGTGTGTATGTGTGTGTGTGTGTTTGTATTTCATGCTGTTATATAATATTGTTATCTTACTGCTGATATGCTCTTACAGTTTCTGCCTGTAGAATAATTGTTGTCTTGTAGGTTTTAATGAGTTCATTACAGTTATGTTTGTTAAATAAATGTTTTCAGTAATTAAAAATTCCCCTGCATCTTTAAATTCCTGTTACAAAATGTCATTTATCAGATTGCAATCTTCCAGCATAATTCTTTGTTTTCTTCCACTAGAAGAAAACATACACATGATTGTACATACTGCTGGGCCTTGCTAGTAGGAGTGTAATGAGATTATGCATGTTTTTTCAAAAGTCTCCTTTGTTCATCTTCATTAATGACATGTCCTATATTTATTGCCCTTCCTTTTCCTGTAGGTCTTACTGCAGCAGCATCTCTAGTATCTTTGGCATGGGCACTGGCTTCATATCAAAAAGCTCTTCGTGACTCCCGGGATGACAAGAAACCTATCAGCTACATGGCTGTAATTATTCAATTTTGTTGGCATTTTTTCACAATCGCAGCCAGGGTGATTACTTTTGCTCTCTTTGCCTCTGTTTTTCAACTATACTTTGGAATCTTCATAGTCCTTCATTGGTGTATTATGACTTTCTGGATTGTCCATTGTGAAACAGAATTCTGCATTACTAAATGGGAAGAGATTGTGTTTGACATGGTTGTTGGAATAATTTATATCTTTAGTTGGTTCAACGTCAAGGAGGGAAGGACACGTTGTAGGCTTTTCATTTATTATTTTGTGATCCTTTTGGAAAACACCGCCTTGAGTGCTCTTTGGTATCTATACAAGGCTCCTATGATTTCTGATGCATTTGCCATACCGGCACTTTGTGTGGTGTTCAGCAGCTTTTTAACTGGCATTGTTTTTATGCTGATGTACTATGCCTTCTTTCATCCTAATGGACCACGATTTGGGCAGTCACCAAGCTGTGCTTGTGAGGATTCTGTAGCTGCCTTCACTCTTCCTGCTGAAGTAGCATCAAGTACTTTAAGGTCTATTTCTAATAATCGGAGTGTCACAAGTGAACGGGATCAGAAATTTGCTGAGAGAGATGGGTGCGTACCTGTCTTTCAAGTAAGGCCAACTGCACCTTCAACCCCTTCATCCCGACCACCAAGGATTGAAGAATCTGTCATTAAAATTGATTTATTCAGGAATAGGTATCCAGCATGGGAAAGACATGTATTGGACAGGAGCCTCAGAAAGGCCATTTTAGCTTTTGAATGTTCTCCTTCTCCTCCACGACTACAGTATAAAGATGACGCCCTTATACAGGAGCGATTGGAGTATGAAACAACTCTATAAATACAATGAATACAGAAAACTCAGTGCAACGGCTATGATGCATCCAAATAAAAGGGTACTAATAGGGCCGTGGCAATAACTTAATTTCATTCTACAGCAGATCAGGAAGCTATAGCAGTGTCCTTAGTCTGACTACCATCATGATTATCATTTGATCCACTGTACCACAGTCTATCTCAGTAAGCCTAAAAGAAGCAGCATACAAAAACCTCAAAAAATCATTATTTTTGACTGAGAAATAGACTTAGTCTGATTACTCTGATTTTAAAGTGCATTATACGGAATTTAAAAATAAGACAGGAAGGGTTGAATGAGTGACATCCAACACACTAGTGAGTGGGGTTTTGTTTTCTTTTTTTTCCTTTTTAGATAAATCCCTGCATATGTTTTTAAGCTGAGTATGTTTGCATACTTATTTACAAAATAAAGTTGCAGTTTAGAAAAAATGGTCAGAATAACTAAATTCATACAAGGCAATGTTACTGTTATATGAATTCTAATTTCTATGAAAGAAATTAATATAGTTATCTTGCATAGGTAAATCATGAAACATTTTCAAATGAGAGACATTGAACAAGGCATTAGTAATTTTTCTCTAATCTAGAATTCTATTTATAATCAAAGAAACTATTCATTTTTATTTTATTAAATTTTATTTTCTTTTTTTAAACAGAAATCAATATTTTATGTACAACTTCAGGGTACTTTTTAACAGAAATTCTATGCAGATGATTCCTTCCTCCTTCCTCAACTTTCAAAAAGAATTGAGAGTTTAGATGGTTATTAAAAATGTAAATTAAATGATAATCATGATTAAATTTCAGTTGCAAAAACAAAAAAAGAAAAGAAAAGGGAGGGAGGGAGATGGAAAAAATACCAAAAAGGTATACATCCCATATACTGAATCCTGTGAAGATTATGTTCAGAACAGCAGCAAAAGAGAATAGGTGTTTTAATCTACTATATATGAATAAAGCATCACAATATGCTATAACCTTTTAGTGCCAAATATTGTGTAATTACAAAATTAATATAATATTATGTTTTGAAGAGGAGATAATGTCCTAAAGTAATTGGAAAGAATACATTGTACCTTCTACAGTTGTAGTCAATGGTGTTTAAGCAAAAAATATCCCCTGGTTTGTAAGCATATAAACTACAGTATATACTTTATAAATAGTGCAATCTACAGTAACCTACCTTATGTGCAAGATTTTCTTGAAAAGGGTAAAATCTGTTTCATTGTACTTAGACATAATACAACATTGTGTTTCAGTTTCACAAAAATGTATTTCAGTGAGCCTTGGATTTAATGCTACCCCACCTCTTGTCATCTGAAACGGCATCTAATAAGATCAAAAGTATCCAATTCTATTCTAGATGAAGTGCTATTTTACTTGCCATTTTAATGTTAGTTGAAACATACGATCTTCATGTGTAGTTTAATGCTCAATATTTTTCCAACTATATATATTTCTGATTAATAACATGAAACTTGCTTTAATTAGGTAGATAAAATAAAATTAATCTAATATTTCATTTTTAGGTATAGTTTTGTTTTTTTAAACAAGTTAATAGTTAACACAAGCTAATAAGCAGTAAGGAAGAAAATAGAAAAAGCAAAAGCAAAGAAAAAGCAAAAGATGCCTGAAAAATGCATCCAAAATTACTCTAAAATTTCAGTACTCCTCATAGGTATATCAAAAGAAGAAGGGAAATACATAAATCCAAAGTTTACTGTGGTTCACTTTTGTACAGCTAAACTACACTTTAGCCTTATATACAAACCAGCTAACTGTAAAAAAAAAATAGTTTTCCAAATAGGTATCTGGGCATGATTCTAGGAAGTATCTTTTCTTACCTTAAAAGTATCCTTGATGGTGCTTTTGGTTGTATTAAAGGTGCAAGTCAAAATTTGATAGTATTTTTTTTAACAAAAAATTGGTGCAAACTGGAATAACTCATGGATTATGTCAATATTTTTGTAAAGCAAAAACTCAGTACACAAGTTGTTACTTTTTATAGGCAGAATCTTTTCACCTGTGACTCATTGTCTTTATTAACTTAAAAATTAGTCCATAATTATATCCACTAGTCCTTTGTAAATTAATATAACTGCATAGACTTGATGCTATATTAGTTTGTTTCACAATATCATGCAATATGAAAATGTCCATTTCTACCTTTAGAATATTTCAAAACAGTGAAAACTTCAGATGAGTGCTTCAGATTTAGTGCAGTGTGTACATTGAATGCTTTATAATGAATTCTGATGAACTCTAAACTATGAATCAGTATTTTCCAATCTGGAATTGTCCAATGTTGTTGGGAACGCAACTTACAGAATGTGAAACCACAACAGTGGAGAATTACAGATTGGAAAAAGCCAATGTATAATTAGGTTTAGCCTGAAATTTTGCAGATTCATAGTGAGGTTATAGTTTGCTACTTCAGTTATTCTCCACATTGTGGCAAGCTGTATTTTCATAATGTTTCTGCAATATATTAGAAACTTCAAAAAGTGAGATGGTTCATTGTGTTATTCTTTAACAGAGGTATAATCACCTATTGCAAATATGAGCAAATTGTTTATGAATATAAGCAGCTCCACAAGCAGGTATGTGAAGCAAATCTTTGTACAGTTGTATTAACAGAAAACAACTTCTCCCCAAAAAATAGCCCTACATAAATGTGCATGTCCTTCAGCAGTCTCCCTTGTAATTGAAAATTTCTTATTTAGATTTAATTAATTCTTTACTGGGTCTGCCAGTAAAGTTTAAAAGTTTAAGATTATGGCATGTTAAATTTGCACTGCTTCAAGCCTTGCTGCAATTGTATTGGCAAATGTTATGTTGTTATTTCAATAGACATACAAGTTGAAATTGTGAAATTATGAAATATGTTTTCAATACAAACTCAACATGTATGGGTAGGCAATACTAGTCCATTACTAATTTCAAGTGGCCCTCAGCCTGATTTCAAAAATCAAAAAATCTGACAAGAATGGTCCATCCTTTTCCTGAAAACGTGCTGCTTAGGGTGAAAGAAAGGCAGGTGTGGGCATCCAAGTGTGCACGTACAAAACAGAGAGAGGAGGGGAAAAGATGAAATAAAGTGAATGAGTCATCTCACACTCTTCCCTGTCCCTGACATCCATTGTTTCAGCTTTACCAAAGTTCTCCAAGGAATTTTTGTTGAAGGAGAACAGCTTTTAACAGCACAAAGATCACCTCATCTGTATGTTTTGCATGCATTTCAACAAAGCTCCTCTCCATTAACAGTCTTGCATTTGTGGTTCTTTTCATAGCATGTCTTTTGCATAATGTTATGTCTGCCATTATAATGTGTGGAACAAGATACAGTATAAGAGAAGAGGAGATTTGAGTTTTGCAAAGTTTGTTCAAAAGTGATAAACAGCATCATATTTTGAATAGAAAGGTCTGAACAAAAAGCAGGATGCTTGTTTCTCATTGGTTTTTTTATAGTAAAGAATATGAATATTTATTTGGATTTGTAAGGGCTGCCATGCCTTAAGATTGAACTAATGGGTCCTGCATAAAATATATTTGCATGTTTTACTAATAGCTATCTTATAAAAGATAATTTATCAATTCAGAGATATAATTCATTACTATGTCATTTTTCCATTATGGTGATTTGGACAATTTTCAGAGTTTCATGAAGACAATCTCTTTCTTCTCTTCTTTAGCTAGGAAGGAGCCTTTATATTCATAGAATGGCCCTTCTTGATGTAACACAATGTTTCATTATTTATGTCTTGATATGGCTGGAGTTGCCTACATGATTTTTTACTTCTAATATACATAATGCTGTTTTTTTTTTTTAATACTGTTCAAAGTCTATAATATAGTTCCAGGGCATAGTCTTCTCTCTTGAAAACAGAATTCAGTTTTTTTGCTTCAGTGTTATGATGATGTATAATTATTTTACATGATGTTCTTGAACTTATTTCATTGTTCGGTGTAATTTTACAGGAATAATGTTATTCTGTCATTCATGTTTCCCATTTTATTTCAAGGGAACCAATGGCAACATAAGCTTTCACAAAACGAATGCTGGTGCATTCTAGGCAACTTCTTAATATATAAGGCTCAGCCAAGGCCTTCCTGTTACCTACACCTCCTTCTTTTCCACTGACAAGTAAGAAAAGAAAAATGACCCAACTTCTCCCATTACCTATCCTTAGGATGCAAAAAGCGAAGTAATTTGCATACAATTTGCTACAGCTTTTTTTTCCATTCCCAGAGTGGACTAAACTTTGGATTAGTGATTTTAAAGAAGCAAAATGGATTCTTGCTTCCACCCCTTCCCAGGGGTGTTAACATTTTGCATGGAGTCAACCTTAGGATGCTTTTTTGTTCCAAAAATGCTAGAATGGTTTGGGGCTAAGTTAACTTTCCCCAGTCTGCTACAACATATGAACAAGGGGATGAACGGAAATATAACCCTTTCTTTCTGGCATAGAAAGGTAATCATTAAATGGCATCATCAAATTAGAGCTTCAGAAAAATATCACATTTTCATTCATTCTACTTTTCATATTCGATAGAGTAAATACATGAAAGGACAAGTTGACTAACTTCCCCCTCAATTGCATCAGCAATGGTTCTGATCTCCACCAATTATTTTTGCTTTACAAGATTCTTACTATGTTTGCAGAAGATAGGAAGCCAGTCATTATTTGATCAGGAAATTTGTATAACTTAGTATATAACCAGTTGTACAGTTGTATAGTTTCTAACAGACAAATCACTATATCAATGTGATTTTGCTCAAATATTTGATTTTGTCAGAAATGTTCCCTCCAAATCAAGCCATTTCAATTTCATGTTTGCTTCCTCAGCCCCATTTCTTTTCTTTAACACATCTACCTCTGACTCCACTGACACAGTAAAAACCTTACTTCTAGTTTTGAAGTAGCATTATTGCCTGAAATACTCTGACAGAGAAGTAGCTGCATTATCTGACTGCTCTGCCATCTTCAGAAATGCTGTTCTTTTCCACCCTTTGGCTGCAGTGTGAGAGAATACCAGGCATAGCAAACCTTTAAGACCTTTACATTGGTTTCCAGCCCTTTGTATGGTCACTAAAACACTAGCAAGAACTATCTATGTCCCTTACGGAAGTTTGCAACAAGCAACATACAGAGACACATGGAGGATCAACAAACCAAATTTCCTCTCCAACAGTGATGGTGGCCTCTGTTTCCAGGATTTCTACAGCAGGTTTCCAGAGCATGCAATAGTATAAACCTTTTTGTCCTTTTACCATAGACTGCAACTTTCCCTGAAGTTGGTTAGATATTAGTTCCCCCTTATCCCAAGGTTCCAGTTAAACACAATAAGAATCATATCCTAGTTGTGCTTTCTTCCTGACTTTTGGGCTCATTATTATGGGAATAAAACTGAAGGGCTTGAGTCCTAAAGCAAAGGTAGTATATAGGTATAGTGAAAAACAAAACAAAATAAATGAAGAATAAACGTTGTATGACTGCTTCCATTGCCCTCCTGGATCCTCTTTTACAAATAGGCCCACTGTTAGCATACTCATTCTTGGCATAGCTACAGTGATAGAACTGCTTTTAACTGGTAGAAGCTATAATTTTGCAATGTGAATTTGTAAGGACAGCATCTTTGCTACCCAGAGTTGATGGGATGCATGGCATTGCTGTTGCTTTTTAATGGCTTATATATGTTGGCATTCCTAACAGTCAAGGGCTAATATGAGGGGAGAGATAGCAGAATCCGGATGAGCTGAGGCTGACCACCAGCAAGCACAGACTAGAGAGAGAAAAAAATAAGGAGAAATGAAGGAAAATGAACAGAAAGTCAATGTCAAGAGGAAAAACTGAATTCTTCTTTTTTAAAAAAAAAGAAAAGAAAAAAACTCTTCATCCTCCCTGTGGAGTGCTCCCTGATAATCTTTGTCCTAGTGATTCCAAGGAGTGAAATGGATGGAAAAATTTCAAAATATCTTTGAGAGT